GCCGGTCCGTCTCCATCGTCATGAGGATCTGGCGCAGCTCGATGTGCGACAGCTTGAGGTGGGCTATCAGGATGGCTGGGGGCAAGGGAGGCACGTCACTGGGGAGGGGAGGAGCGCGGGACCCCTGCCCCGGGCTGGCTGTGCCGGGGACAGACCGCCTGGCAGGACTGGGACAGGAGGTGAACTCGGTCCCTCCACCCTGTGAGGGTGGTGGCCTTCTCCATGTGCCCACCGGGACAGGAAGGGCTTTCTGCTGCCACAGCCCTGCAGAGGCTGCAAGGGGACCTTAAGAGCCACTCTGGTCCTGCAGGCCCCTCCAGGGCACTGCATCACCCGCACAGTCAGGGTGGGCTGCACTGGAAACAACCCCCACTCCCACCTTCCCCACAGCCACAGGATCAGGGGATCAGGGAATCGGGGTCTTGTAGGTCCCACCCAGCACTCTCACCCTCCTTCCTACCAAAAGCACATCCTGGAGAAGCAGCACTGCCCCACTTCACCCCAGGGGGCCATGCAGGCTCTGCCCCCTCCCTCCCCAGACAATGAGTCACATCCCATCTCCAGCCTTTCCCATGAAGGCGACTTCTTCCCCTTAATGGTGCTGAACCCAGTCTGGAGGAGCTCTGGGCTGCAGGAAAAGTCCATCCCAGCCAAGCTGTGCTCGTGGAATTGTGCTCATGGGATCATGTCCATGGGACTGTGCCCATGGAATTGTGCCCATGGGACTGTGCTCATGTAGCCTCCTTCCCTTTACCTTTCCAGTTCTCTACATCCCTGGTCCCACCTGGCCTGTTTTGGGGGTACCTTCCCTCTGGAGTTTACTTACATGTGTTGTAGGCCTTTTTGTGGGACAAAATTTCAACCACGTCTTTCTTTTTAAAGTTCTCAGGCAAGAGAGTTGGCTCTGGAAGAGAAACTGAAAGATTTAATCATGGGTAAGGACAGGCTCAGCCGGCTCCAGCAGGAAGAAAACTGTCCTGAAAGCAATGAAACCATGAATGAAAGAGAGGAGAACTGATGCTTTGCAGACAGCAGTGGCTCTGGAATCCTTGAATTCTGTGATTCAAAGATCTCCTCAATGGAGGACTCAGTTGGAGCTGAAAAAGGTAAAACGAGAGGTGAAACACGCAGAAAATCCCAGACCGCCCAGAAACATCACCAAAAAGGTGTTCCCTGAGAAGAATCCCATTTTATCCCACCTCCACTGGCAGCTGGGCACAGTGTCCCTTGCAGGAGGGCTCAGACACCCCACTGGAATGTTACCCCAGCCACCACCACTCTGCACCTCCAGCCTGGATTCCCTCTCTGGGTTTGTGGCACCCAGAAACCCCGGTGGGTGGGATACCCCAGCTGGTGGGGCTTCAGGGGACCCCAGTGCCAGAGCAATGGGGGGCTGACAGGCAGGGAGCTCCAGTGCCCATCACAGCTCTTGGGGGAAATCAGCAGATTATGTGTGTAAAAAGAAAAGTGCTGCTGATGATTTCATGGCTTTTTCAGCTTTTTCAACCAGAGCTGCAGTTGGTGAAACTGCCCAATGAAACGTGGAGAGAAAACAGGTCATGGCAGCAAAGACAATTAAGAGAGAGAATGAAACCATCTCTTTCTTAATGATCCACTGTGCCACCAGCCACAAAATCCTGAGTATGAACAAATTCATGCCATGTATGATGTCACAGACAAGGCATTGCCTTGCTGCCCATCAAGCCCCAGTTCCTCCCAGCTCCCCCCAACTCCCTGGTCTCTGGCTGGTACCAGGACCTATTTTGGGGCTCAGGTACTTACTCGTGGGCTTCTGTGTCCCAAAGTGCAGCTCCAGGTCGAGGTATTTGACCATATCACTCAGCTTGTCATAATCCGAGTCTTCCCCAAGCTGCAGGAGGAGGAAGAGTCAGGAGCTGTGCTGGCACAGGCAACAGCCTGACAGTGCCTGCCTGTGCTGGGCCCATTCCCTGCCCTCCAGACCAAGCTCTGTGTGCCCAGAAAAAAACCAGGACAGGGTGCTGGCATCGTCCTTTGACTGAAGACTTGGTCACTGCCATGCAGATTGACTCCTGACAGCTGAAATCCTGCAGAGCATCTCTGCCTTCACTGCTACTTGGGCACTGATGGATAAAATGAGAATTCCAGAAACTTCAGGAATTTTTTTGCTTAAAAAATAAAAATCACTGGGAAAAGCATTTTTCTCTCTGTAGTGACAGAGAGAGGGATCTGCAAGATTTCAAGTGCCTGTGGGACTGGAAGATGATCCCACAGCTTCCCCCTTGTTGCTCAGGGCACGGAAAATACAGCATGTGCTGAACATCAGGAGAGACACAGGCTGGGAGTTAAAGCCCAGCGAGGCCAGTTCTGCACCACTTCAAGTCCACGGTGCCAAAGGACTGTCACATTTCCTCTCACCCTTCATCTCTGCTTCCCCCCTCCAGTGTTCTCCCATCATTCTGCTCCAACCATCTTCATTGTTTCCCGCTGATAAAACCTCCCACAGCTGCAGAACCCCTCTGAAGGCAGCTCCTGACCCTGTCAGCCCCCGAGGGCAGGACACTGCTCCCCAGGACACTGCAGCCTTTCCAGGGCGTCTGCCCAGCCCGGCAGTCCAGTCCAAACAATTCAAAGGATGAAAAGAAGGCCTGCACAGGTAACCAACCCCAGAGCAGGGTTGGGACCCCC